GCCTTTCCTCCCTTAAGTTGCTTGTGGTCATGGCGTTTATCACAGCAACAGAAAGCCAAGCAGGACACCTAGCAAGAAATTCTTAGCAAAACCATGTAGCTCAGTTGGTAGGCGCTTGTCATGAAAGCATGAGCACCAGAGTCCAACCCCAGAATCTCCATGAAGAGCCTGCTGCAGCCTGGGAGGTAGAGATAAGAGGGTCCCAGGATAGTCACCAAGTGTAATTTAATTTGCAAGCCTCAGGCCAGTGAAAGATCCTATCTCAAAAAGCAAGGTAGATGATACCTGAGGAATTAGGACACTTGAAGTTGATCCCCGGCCACGCTTGTGCATGTTTCTAATGTCACCATTTGGGATCAGAAGGTCTTAAGGACAAGGCCAGCTTATGGTACATAGTAAGAGTCTACAGTGGTGCACACCTTTAATCTCAGCACTTGAGAGGCAGAGACAGGCAGATCTCTGGGTTCGAGGCCAGTCTGGTCTACAGAGTGAGTTACAGGACAACCAGGGCTGCAAAGAGGAACCCTTTCTCAAAAAACCAAACCAAACTGAAAAAAAAAAAAACCAACTTACCAACCAACCAACCAACCAATCAACCAACCAACCAACACCAACCCTAAAGGCTAGGATTGGAGAGCTCAGTAGTTGCCTGGAATGGGCTTTATCTCTAATATTGAAAAAAGCAAGAAGAAAAAAAACCCTACAACCAATACACAAGCTAGGCAGTTGTTAAAAGCGTTCCCCTCCTGTCAGGTTCAGAAGCAAGGGAGCCTGCCATCACTCTTTCTAGTCACTTTTATTGCATGTCTATGTCAGTACAGTAAGAAGTTAAAGGCAGTGGCCAGGAAAGGAAATAAGGTAATGTGACGATAATATTATTTTTAGAGAAAATTGAAGAAATGCTTTAAGACAAACTGTTGCATGTAAGGAGAGGGATTGGTGAGGCTACTGGAGAAAATACCAATATGCCTAAGTTACATAGAAACAGCAGAGGGTAAACTGGAACACACGAATAAACTCACGCAACAGCAACACAACTTACAAGGCCAATCAACCTAACAGAAGAGTTCTGAATCCTTTCTGGCTGATAGCTGAAATATAGAGAACATATAAACGAATGTGAGACTACAGTACTCCATTCTGCACTAGTGTACCATTTTGATAATAAAAGTTGTTTAAAACAGCAATGCTCTATCCATTAATATCAAAATTCAGTGCAATTTCAGACAACATCTCGTTATTTCATGCTACTAAATTTTACATAGAAAACAACTCTATGCTTAATTGGGTGAATCAAGAACTAATACATTTTTGAAAAAGTGAGAATCATGTTTAGCAAATCCTAGAGCTTCAATGAAATTATAGGACTGAAACAGTGTGGCATCAAGGCAGTGACAGACGTTGGGCAATACAACGGAAGAGACATTTTCATGAACGGTTAATAGACGAATATGTAGTAAATAGTTCTAAAAACATGGTCTCCAGTTAGAAAAGGGCAAAATCATTTCCTATCTCACTCTACACATGCAAATCAATTTTTGTGTAGAATAAAAGTTTTAATCTCTGAATACAAAATAAGAGGAAAACCATTATTATATTAAAATAGATTTGAAAATCCATAAATACAATTTGTTTTTGTTTCTGTTTTTGTTTTCTTTGTTTTTCCAGACAGGGTTTCTCTGTATAGCATAAATACAAAATTTTTAAATAAAATGTTGAGTTAGGAAAGTAAGTTGGAGTCCAGTGGTGGTACACGTGTTTAATCCCAGCACTCCAGAGGCAGAGGCAGGCACATCTCTGTGAGTTCAAGGCCAGCCTGGTCTACAGAGTAAGTGCCAGGATAGCCAAGGCTATACAGAGAAACCCTGTCTTGAAAAAGCAGCTGTGGGGGACCCACTCCCACCTTTTCACAGGGTACTCTTGATGAGTGAGGGGTAAGAGATTTAGATAGAAGGACAGAGGGGAGAGAAACAGAAACACAGGATAGCCTGAGAGGGCCTGGATCCTTATCTACAGGACCCTTCTGGCTCTTTTAAAAGGTTTTTTAAAGGAATGACAAGGAGCAGAGCAAAAGACCTCCCCTTGCTAGATCAAAGCATACCACACATCTGAGTGCAGACCCTTCCAAACACCTGGTAACCACACATGTGGTCAAGGAATCCTCTAATGCAGCTCTGCTGGGTAAAGCAAGCTCAGATCTCACTAGGAAACCTCTGTGGCCTCCACAACCAACCAACCAACCAACCAACCAACCAAACAAACAAACAAACAAATAAAAAAGTAAGCTGGGGGTGGGAGAGATAGCTTACTGGATAAAACACTCACTGCACACCTGTGTGGACGTGAATTTGATGCTAGCAACCACGTTAAAATCTGGACATTGTGGCCTGTGCTCCTGATCCCAGCACTGAGGAGGTCTAGACAAGAGGACCTCCTGAGGGCTGGCTGGCCAGTCACCCTAGCCCAACGAGCAAGCTCCAGATCAGAGTGAGAGCCCTTGACCTGGTATCCCACTTTGGTGGTCAGTCCATCTTATTCCTTTGTGGATTTAATTATCATTTTGGTGGACACTCCGTCTTATTCTTTTAGGGACTTAATTAGCTTTAGTTTTTTTCCTTGTGGATATAGTTTGCAGAGCAGTGTGTGAGATATACGGAGAGCCGATGTTGTAGAGCTTAGCCTTTATTGGAAATTTCTCACAACCACACCCAGGTCGCCAGCAGAGTGCATGTATCGTCCTCACGAAAACACAATTACAGTTTAAACAAAACATGGATTTGTTTGCCTCTCATACAATGGGAAATTTTAGTACATACAACTCAGGGCTTGACTACTGCCTCCCCTGCTCATGAAACCCAGACTCCATGTGTCTCCTATTTAACATCAGGGTGTAAGTCTTAACTTTATACATACCAGAAAACTGTTACAACTAAGTAACTACTAACTAGCTAACTAACTAACTAACAACTAACAACCGTTACAACTAACTCCTGAGCAGAGAGCAAAGGAAAGGCAAAAATAGTGCAGAGTCAGCGCCTCCCAACCAGCTTTCCTAGCAGCTTCCAGTAGTGTTTGCTTCTATCTTTTCCCCAGAAACATGTCACGTGATTACCATGAGCAAAAAAGTGAGTACAGTGTGACTCTCAACAAAACTAAAAAATCTATTTAAAATAAAACAGGAAAAGCATGGCTGGTCAGGCATTTAAGAGTCTAGGCCATCTAGTACACAAAATCAAGGGTAAGTATTAAGTGAGTTTTGTTCAGGTTAAGACCGTATGGCTGGGAATATGAAATTAGCCCATGGTCTTTCTTGACGGTGAGTTGAACTTAGGCAAATGGTGGTGAGGAGGACAGAAAGGCCTGCTCAGAGGTGAGGTGACAGTTTTCAAAGCAGTGGAGAGAGGACACAGGGAGGGAAGGAGAGAGGGAACCTTCCCTCTGTGGTTTCTGGAGTGTGAAGAAAGCTAGCTGATTCCACTTCCGGAAATGCAGATGTTAAAGTATTGGTGTAAACACATTGACATGTTGATTAACAGGAAAGAACAGAAAGTCCAGAAACAGACCCTTACACTGATTAAAAAATAAAACAAAACAAAACCCACTGATTTTTCTCTCCAGTGGTTGTGTGGGAACCCGAGGCTTCACACAGGCTAGACAATTGTTCTACCACTGAGCTGCATCCCCAGCCAAACACTGATTTTGATAAGGATTCAAAGGCAGGCAGTGGAGATCAAAAAGTGTTGCCCTATTAAAACAAAGCAAAACCTAACTCAGATGGGTAATAGACCAAAATGTAAAACTCAAAACTACAAAATTAACAGAATAAAACACAAAAAAACATTTGTAGTCTTGGACTAGCAACCATTTCTTAAATATGATACCTCCAAGGCCCCACAGACTATAAAAAAATGACAAAATGAATTTCAACAAAATTAAAAGCTTCTCATCCCAAGGTACAATTAGGAAATAGAAAACAGGACTCCCAGATTGGAGAAGGGGAAATTTGTAAGGAAAATATTTGATAAAGGATTTCTGCCCAGAGAATATATAAAGAACCTTGAAAACGACATAACAAGTAATCTAACAATAAGTGGACAAAACAAAGTGTATAGATAATTTTCCAAGGAGAGTTTGTGGTCCGCTGTTTAAGTACACAAAAAATAATTGGGTAATGCTAACCATCAGACACTGAAAAATAACAGCACACAAGAAACACCTATTACTGTGAGTAGTTTAAGTCTAACTGTGTGGTGGTGCACTCCTATAAACTCAGTTCTGAGGCAGGAAGACCCTCAAAAACAAAAACAAACACAACAACAACCAAAGAAAAGGCCTGGGTAATCAACTGTCTGCAAGGGATGAGCGAACAGGATCTTATACTCAACTGGTGAAGCAGCTGCTGCCCTTGAGATCCGGCCATTCCCTTCCCAGGTGTCCACACAAGAGACAACACCTTCATCCGCCCAAAGACATGTACAGGAATGCTCCTGGCAGCTTTGATTTTGATGTGAAAAGTCTAGAAACAGCCTAAAGTAATGGGTAACTGGCTGAATACAGTTTAGTACAATGGAATACTACTCGGAACAAAAAAGAATTTGTGCGCAATTGGTAACACGAAAGGCCAAGCAGTCAAGTCCAAATAATTATGCTGAGTGAAGGAAGCCAGATAAAACCAACTGTCATTGGTACGACTGGGCTTTCACACACTCTGGAAAACGTAAACAAACTGAAACCCAACAGGTTTTAGGCCAGGAATGATCCCAATCGGAGGGAGGTCCCCCGCGGGAGGAGGCAAGAGTTGGAGGAGGCGGCGAGGGGTTGGAACCGGGTGTTCGGAGGCGGATCCGGAAACGCAGCGAAGGTCAAGGGCAAGTGGGTGCGAAGAAGTTAGGCAGTGGGGGTGGGGTGACGCACCAGCCAGAAGGGAGAGCCGGGAGCAGGAGAGGGAACCTGGGCGGAGGGGAGGGACCCGGCGGAGGGGAGGGAGGGGGTAGGGTGGGGTAGTGTGGGGAGGGAACCCGTTGGTGGCAGCGTCATGGCGCGCCTGCTGCGAGCATTGCGGGGCCTGCCCTTGCTGGAGGTGCCTGGGCGGCCCGCTCGGGCTTGTGCGGGGTCGGGACACGGGGACTCAGGTAGGTCTTCTGTCGCCGCCGCCGCCTCGTGGCTTTCGGTTTCACCGCCCTGGCTGACCCGGGGCCGCCTCCGGTGAGGCCATGAGAACCTGGTCCCCGTGGCCCCGCTGCCCCTTGCAGCCTGAGTGGTCGAGCACCGTGGTGGCTGAAGTTGGTGTGTTGGGGGAGCACTGATCCCGGAGAGAATCCTGGGAGGGTACGAATTCACTTCCCACGCTTGCACACAGTGCGTTTTTGATATGTTACGTTTTAGTTCGTGCACAAAATCGTCAGTGGCAGGAGCCATAGTCGGGGGACCCAGTGGCGGCCAACAGCTGTCCCTCGCGCGCCCTCCCCCGAGCAGGAGTTGGTCCTTTGCCCTGCACACCCCCTTTCCGAGGACTGCCAGCGGCCTCCTGTCCTGGGTGAGCGGCCCACTGGCCCACTGGCCCACTGAAGTCTCGTGGGTGCTTGCTGCCGTGCATGCTGCATCGGTCTGTGTGGATCTAGGACCTGAGACGTGTGCTAATCATTCTCGTGTTCCCACAGTCATTGTTAGTGGAGGAGAGACAGAACGGGGGTGGGGTGGGGTGGGGTGGTAAGTGCTTTTGATCCCCATTTGTGAGTTGAAGCAGTTTTCCATCTTACCGGGGAGGAAGGAGTAAGAGTCATCAATTTCGTGCCCCTGTGGTTTGGCACTGGGCAGCTGCTCTCTTTGACTTCCTTTCCCACCCCCTCCTTTCCAACCCAGTTTTATATCTTATGCTGCTGAAGGGTACCGATTCTTGTAGAAGTCTTTTTAGACCCTTGCTACTTTAAAAATTTAGTGTTCAATAAATATATGCCCTGAGATTGTGGACTGTTAACGGATCCAACACGACTTCCGGTTAGAGCTTTCCTCACTCCTTTGGTATCTCAGTGAGACCCTTTGCAAGCCTAGCCCGCTGGAGCTGTGCTAGTCCTCAGAGCTGAGTGACTTTAGCGGAAACTTCACGGAGCTGGCGCTGTCAAAAGCAGCCTGATGAATAGCCCTGGGAGCTGAGAGTCTTCAGCCACGTTAAAGTTGGCTAGACACCAGTACATAGCAGGAGCTGTGTAACTTACCAGACAGCCGCTCCAGGGAGTTTATTCTACGGAAATAATTCAAAAGAACAAAGCTGTACACGCAAAGACCTTCTTAACAGCATTACTCTCAGGAAGGGAAACTGGCCTCAACCCAAACAGTTAAGGGCTACTTAAGTAAAGCATGGAGGTCCAGGTCAACAAACTGCATCCATTAAGAATGAGAAGCATGGTTCTGTGGTTACAGGCTTGGTTGTTCCAGCCTCAGCTCTCTGCCCCTTACTGCCTTTGATGTGTGTGTGAGTGGGGGCATCCATAACAAATACTAAGTCAGGGGCATAAACAACATGTATTCCTTACAGTTTGGGAGGCTGAGAGGTCAAAGGTCAAGGAGACGGATTTGGTTGCCAGTGGGGCCCCACTGTCTGACTTGGAGATGTCCATCTGTCCTGTGTGTGTTCATATGGGCTTACTGTAGGGCCAGTGGAGACAGAAACTCACAGAGCGGAACCCCCTTTCCTTTCCTTCCCTTTTGTTTCCCTCTACACCTCTTCCAGTGTTGGAGATGAAGATATGACGGTCTTTAATGTGTATGAACTTCACAACAGAGCATCAGAACTGTGTCGTGAAAACAGGTGCAGGGAGACAAAAGACGAACCCGCCATCACGGCGGAGTGCACATTGCCGGTGGTGGTTATAAATGGAGGCGGCACAGCAGGCCTACCTGTGTGGAGGGGAATCAAAGTTTGGGAGTCTGCATCATGGGCTGGGATTTGGAGATGTTGAGGGCAACATGGAGGCAGAAAGGAAGCCTAGGGCAGGACCCCTCCTCCCCGCAGGCAGGTTTAGTAATCGTGTGAGTCTGTCTTTTCTTATTTGTATGCTAAAGTGCTGAACGAGGATAAACTTCTAGTGTTGAACAGTGAAAACGTTTATTGTCAGAATTAGGCTTTTGGTCCGGGTTGGGTTTTGTTTGTTTAGTTGTTGTTATTACTGTTAACTTGACCCAAGCTAGAGTTATTTGAGAAGAGGACCCTCAGTTGAAAAAATGCCATGAGAGACCACCTGTAGGCAAATCTGTCAGGGCATTTTCTTGGTTGATGATTGCTGTGGCAGGGCCCAGTCCTCCGTGGGCCATGCCATTTTGGGGCAGGTGGTTCTGGGGTGGATAAGAAAGCAAGCTGAGCAAGCTAGGAAGAGCAAGTCAGTAAGCAGCACTCCTCAGTCATCTCTGCTCCAGTCCTGCCTCCAGCTCCCGACTTCCCTCAGGGATGGAGGGGGACCTGAGTCGTGAGATGAAATAAGCCCTTCATTCCCTACTTGCTTTTGATCATGGTGTTTTATCACCGCAAGAGAAACCCTAACTAAGACAGCTTTATACCCACCTTAACTAAATGTAGTCTTGTCCTAGATGCTTTGTGTATGTGTGTCCATATAAATATAATAGGACAGAAGTAATAAGGAGCAGGAGAAAGAGGAACAAAGGATGGACAGAAATCATGAAGCACAGTAATAGACTGAGGTTGAGCAGAAGTATCTGGAGGTCAAGGCCAGTCTGGACTACATAGTGGGTGTGGCAGCCTGAACTGTCCAAGACCTTATCTTAGAACAGACGTAAGCAAACTGATAATAGACAGATTCACTTTGGGGATGATACAATATGGATCTCTATGCAAGAGAATTTTTAAAAATACAGACCCCTCTGGCAGACAAAATTAAAGATACCTTTACAAGTAGCTAGGGAAGGAGTTTAATAACTCTTCCCTCAAAGACCATCTCTATCCAATCCCTCACTGCTCTCAGCTGGGTCCTGATGGAAACCACTTTTCAGAACTAGCATGTGGCCCATCTGCACCACCCCTGGGCACATATCTAAAGGATTCGAAGTCCTACCTCAGGGATATTTGCATATTCATGTCTACTGCTGCACTATTCACAATAGCTAAGAAATGGAAGAGCCTAGATGTCCAGCAACTGAATGGATAAGGAAATTATGGTATTGTTGTGGAGTTCAAAGCCACCTGGAAAAGACCACCAAATTCAATTCAGATGGAAAAGACCACCAGACTCAATTCAAATAATAATTAGCCAAATTGATTAAAACTGCTAGCAGGGCCACAGTCTCTAAGTGCCATCTAGAGGTAAGTGAAGGAAACCTTTGGCTTTTAAAGATAGGTCCTTGAATATCTACAAAAGCGAGTTAGGGAGGCCAATGAGCTATACTACTCTGCCAAGATTAGGTTGTCAAGGTGACCTCAAAGTAGTCCTTGAATACCTGCATAAGCAAGTTACAAAAGCCAGAATCAGGAATTACTCATATCATTGCAAGCAGATGGTCACCGCTGTACGGTTTTGAGGGGTGGGCAAGAAATCCAGAGCTTTGAGGAACTTGAGTCAGAGACAGACAGCTATTAGATACCAAGGTGGATGCCTATCATAAATGGAGTTTCTTTAGCCATCACAGTACACACACACACACACACACACACACACACACACACACACACGAACTTTATTCAACTCTAAAGAAAATGAAATCATGGTATTTGCCAGAAAATCAATGGAACTTGAAATCATTATGTTAAGCAAAGCATCCCAGACCAGGAAAGACAACTGCCTCACACTTGCTTTCATATGTAGATCCTCTATTTTAATTATATATTTTAATATATTTGTGTGTGTGGGGTCAAGATACAGGTCATAAAGGTAGACAGAAGATGTGGAGTTGAGGAGAGGTCTTAGAAGGTTGTGTTGGGAAGGGTAACAGAATGTGTGTACAAGCAGAAGGAGGGTAGGGAACAGAGAGATGGGATGGGGAGGAGAATTCGAGGGGCAGTAACAAAGACAGCATATGTGTAGAAATGCCTTAAGGAAATCCATGACTCTGCGTGATAATTTCTTTAAGTAAAATTTTTAAATTGCAAAAATGAAATGGAGGCACGAAAGGCTTTTCAAAGTCATGTGACTAATCAGCAGATCCCAGAAGGGTCAGGAAGGGTCAGGACGGCCAGAAAGACTGATGTGCCGACTGCAAAGGGGTTATTATAGGCTCTCTAAGGAAAACTAAACCAAAAAAGACTTGAAATTGTTTAATGCAGAAAAGGGGGGTAGGGAGAATCCACTCCCACTGTGAGGTACCTTGGAGAATTTGTTTGGTAGTATTTCCTACCGGAGCCACTTCTTTGGGGTCTGTGCCCCAGGAGGAGCAGACAGGCACTGGCTCCCTGCTCATCACAGTTCTTGTTAATGAAATGGGTGAGGAGGCATCTTGGGCCTGAGCCGCAGCGGAGAGAGCAGCTCATTCCTCGGGGTGACAGAGCGAGCCAACATGGGGACGGACAGCGCTTTATTTCAATAAAAACAATTCCCTCCTTAACAATGCAGGGTCCCTTACAAAGTCCAAGCTCTCTCTCAGCAAGACTGACTGGCAGAGGAAACTGACCCCCGAGCAGTTCTATGTCACCAGAGAGAAGGGAACTGAAGCGGTAAGCGGGATGACGTGCAGTGTTCTGATAAGATGTTCTGGGGGCGAGGGGTTGGAGTAGAGGTGCCTACAACACTTCGTGTGCACTGTGAGGATCTGGTCAGCCTCCAGCAGCCTCTGTATTAGACCTACAGTTTCCACCCACCTGAAGAAACGAGAATCCTTCTCCACCCTTTAGTGCCACGCATGCGCTCCGCTGCCCGATCCTTGCTGGCCGGGCCAACATTCTCAATCCACCTCCTTCTTTCTCCTCCTTTCTTCTTCCTGCTTTCTCTCTCCCCTCCCAAAGGAGTCTTTTGAGAAGAAAGTGGACCATGCTACTTCTCAGCTCATAATCACTTGGAAGCTTACCATGGCTCTGAAAGTAAATACACAGTACTTAAATACTAACTGGGCCCTCCCAGCAGTGGTCCCTACCTGAACCCCTGCCTCGGATGCAGCCATGTTTCCTCTGGCTCCCTGAATTATGGCCACATTGTCCTCACAGCAAGCAAATGCTCTGCTTTCTTCTTTTCAAGGCCCCTGTGTCTTGGGTTTCTTTCCCTCAGCCATTTGTCCTGATAATTAATTCAGACCCTCCTTTTAAGATTTATTATTATATATGGAATATATATATATTCCATATATGTGTGTGTGTGTGTGTGTGTGTGTGTGTGTGTGTGTGTGTGTGTGTGTGTGTACCTGTGTGTGGCCTCAGGGTCCTGAAAAGGCATGGGAATCCCTGGAACTGGAGTTACAGACTATTGTAAGCTGCCACTGATGTGGGTTGTGGGAACCAAACTTGGGTCCTCTGGAAGAGCAAGCAAGTGCTCTTAAGAGCTGAGCGCTTCCCCACCCCCAGACCCAACTCAACCCAGATCACTTGCCCTTTTCTCAACCCCTGCCTAGGTTGCTTCTTCCGCGTTTTCTCTCACAGCAGTTGCCCCGTGTTTTGTTTCCTGGTACTTGCTCTGGTTCCTGGCTAGAGGAGGCATTCAAAACAGGGATGCTGGTGAATGTTGTGTGTCAGAGGTGGACACACCCACCTGCACTGGTTAGTCTCAGCCTCTGTTCATTTCCACAGGCCACAGCATTGTGCTGGCACTGTGGCTCACCACAGGTGATGCCAGGGATGAAGACAACCACTGGGGTTTTACTATTGAGCTGTTCCCGTGAGATGCTTTCACTTTTGAAGTAGATCCCATGGGGAGACCCCTGCGTAGCGGTTCTTCAGTGTTGTGTGACCAGCCTGTTGGTACCCATGCAAAGTACCGGCAGCTTTGGTCCTTTAAACATGACCACGGGCTCAGTTTCTCTGATGCCACAGACACCAGACAAGCTGGCAGGTCCTTACAGATTCTTGTGAAATATTTTTTTGAAGTTATATTTCTTCCTGTGGGTGGGAATGAGACTGTTTTTCTCACTGTTGTAAACAGCACAAGGGAAGCACACGCTATGCTATGAGAGGTTGGGGGTAACCCCAGCATGTCCTAAGACGAGCCTAATTCCCAGGTAACCAGCCAGGCGGGGTTTGGTGTGTACAGGGAGCCCGGAGACAGTCTGCCAGATGTTTAGGAGAATAAATCTGTGGGCTTCTGAAGCAGATGGTGCAATATCCTTCGCACTTGGCCCTTTTACAAAATGAGCATCATCCATTATTTTAACTAATGTTGTAAATCCCTTCCAGTTGCTCCATTTCCACATTTAACTTTAGTATTGTGCAGAGCTGGAAGCATCAGCCAGCTTCGTTAGTCCAAGGGAAGAGAGACTCCCAACGCCTCCTGATTGGTGACTCCTAATTAAAATTCAGTTGCATGTGTGTGTGTGTGTGTGTGTGTGTGTGTGTGTGTGTGTGTGTGTGTGTGTTAATCAGGCAGTGGTGGTGTGTTAGCGGTGCTTGCAACCAGTGAAAGAATTTGCACCCTGGCTGAGTGATAACCAAGAGTCAGGTATCAACAGGAGAGGAGTTAGTTTCTCAGGTCCTTCTCTGCCCTCTAGGTCTGGTCTCCCTGCTTTGAACCCCATGAGGAGGACCAGCTTTCTTGCCCTGTGGCTTCTGATTGACATGAGGCTCCAGGAGATGCCATGAGCCTCAGAGAGCAGGGTAGAGAAATCAGTCAGGACCCAGCATCCTCTCTATGAGGCAGCCCACATGTGCATTCCTGGCAGCCACAGCCTCACCAAAATCTGGTGATTGTCTCTTCCCTTGCCCTATAGGCCTACTGGGGATTGTGTCCTCACAGCCACCAATCCAGGGGCTCCTCACCTCTTTCATTGTTTTCCATTTGCTCTGACCCCTCCTCTTGAATAAGATTACCTTCATGCAGTCATCCTTTCCAACATGTCCTCTGCCTCTAGCATGGGAGAACAAACAGAATCAAAGGAGAGGGAGCTGTCACTGGTCCAGACATACTTGAAATTGCAGGGTGATGTTGACATTCATTCTCTTCCTGACCCTTCCCCTGTGCAGCCAGTCATTTCAACTCTGGCTTCTGAATCCTTCCTTCCTTCCTTCCTTCCTTCCTTCCTTCCTTCCTTCCTTCCTTCCTTCCTTCCTTCTTCCCTCCCTCCCTCCCTCCCTCCCTTCCTTCCTTCCTTCCTTCCTTCTTCCCTCCCTCCCTCCCTCCCTCCCTCCCTCCCTCCCTCCCCCCTCCCTCCTTCCTTTTTCAGTTTCCAACCAGAGTAACAGCACCACCCAGGCCTGGACTAATGATTGACACCCCTAACCTTCTCTTGCCTCGGATATCTCTTTACCCTTCCAGTCATTTTTGTTTTTGATTGTGTATGGTTGTTTTCCCTCCCTCCTCCACCCTTCCCTCCTTCTTTTCCTCCTCCTCTCTTTCCCTCAGTGCTAAGAGTGGGCACAACAGCTCTGACCATGAGCACAGCCAGTGAACAAGTTCAAAGTGTGCCCCTCCAACCCCTGTGTTCAGCAGGAGCAGGTCTCCATTCTTCATCACAGTCCACTCACAGCCCAGTGTGGTCTGGCTTCTCCTACCTTCCCACGTCATCGATATTTGCATGTCCTCCCTGTCTGAAACACTCCATTTCTCATCTGCTCCGTTCTTACTCATTCTTCAAAGCTCAACTCAGTAGTGCTTGGCATTTTTCTATAACCAGCATCTATCAGCTACACACATTAATAAGGAAAGGTTAAAAGAATAAAGATACCCGCCCTCCAGTCTCAGACACAATCTGCTCAGAAAGCTTCATGGACGCTGCTTCCAGGGGAGGGTCCTTTGTTAGTTCTCTCTTGTGGCTATCATCATAAAGTATGACTGTCTTCTCACAGGGTCTTGTCATCAGGGCAGTACAAGAAACTTTGGTTTTAATTTGGGGAAGGTAATTAACTTTTGAGTCAGTTTTTCCCATCTGCAACATTAGCACCCAATCCAGCACTGATTATGTTCAGATTATCAGTAAGTACTAGGACAAACAGATAAAATAGAAGCTGTTCTGTTCCTAATATATAAAAGGACTTCAAGGAGTTGATGAGGAGACATTAGGAGTCAGGCAGGGGGTAGCAGATAGGCATCATGGCAGGACATAGGTTAAGTAATAGTTCCTGTTCATTTGGATTATTCAGTTTATTTACTGTTACAACAACCCCCTGACTTTTTGTTGTTTGTTTTTTGTTTTTCGAGACAGGGTTTCTCTGTGTAGTTTTGGTGCCTATCCTGGGTCTCACTCTGTAGACCAGGCTGGCCTCAAACTCACAGAGATCCGCCTGGCTCTGCCTCCCGAGTGCTGGGATTAAAGGCGTGTGCCACCACCGCCCGGCCACCCCCTGACTCTTATATTAATGAAATTGTGTTTTTAATTTTGTAGGCTGCTTGGTTTCTGAGGACAGGGCTTTGCAGATCAGCTTCCATGGCAGGGATGTCCATAGTGCTCAAGTCAGGTGTCACTGTGAATGAACAACTCACTAGACTCATTCAGACTTTGGTGGCTAAATGTTCTGTCTCTTTCTTTCTTCTTTCTTTCTTTCTTTCTTTCTTTCTTTCTTTCTTTCTTTCTTTCTTTCTTTCTTTCTTAATTTCTTTCTTTCTTCCTTCCTTCTTTCCTCCTTCTCTTCCTTCCTTCCTTCCTTCCTTGCTTTTTAGACAGGGTTTGGTTATGTAGTTCAAGCTGGTCTTGAACTCATGATCCTACTGCCTCAGCATCACCAGTGCTATGATGGCAGCCGTGTGCCACCAAGCCAGACTTTTAGAGAGTAAGCGCATCCAAGTGTGTCTTATCTGGTAGACTCACCAAGTGGATTTGAACATCCCCCAGGAAGCTTTTTTAAACAATGCAGTTAGCTCTATGGGGAGTTTTTTAAGTTGGCGAGTCTAGAGAGACAGGAGGGCTGATTCCCTGGCGGCTCTGCCACTCAGCCAGCATGCCGTGCTTTGAATCCTGTCATCTGTGTGGTGGGGTAATGCTTGCCACCAGGACATGGCTTTAGCTTGTGCAAATCTCTTTGTAATTTTGTTGACTGAGGGGATGAAAAAGCGATTTGACAAAATTTTTTAAAGAGTATTTATTTTATTTGTGTGTGTGTGTGTGTGTGTGTGTGTGTGTGTGTGTGTATGTGTGTGAATTTATGTGTACCATGTGTGTGCAGGTGCCCAAGGAGGCCAGAAGAGGGCACCAGGTATGGCCTGCACTCATTCATTGCTCTAATTCCCCTCATACCCCCTTCAGCTGTTCAAAGCCTACACCTTCTTTGAATCCTGTGGATGTAGTGCTTTCATCTACATGATGACCAAGCACTGGGGCCCTGGCTCATCATTTAACCCCGACTGACTCTACACAGTGTTGACGCTGCATGATGTGTGTTAACGGCACAACCCTAAATTCACTGAACAGTGCTTTTGATGTATTTGTGTTTTCTCTTCCCTTCTCTCTCTCCCTCACCCTCTCCCTCCACCCCTCCTATCAGGGATCCATCTCTGGGTCTCTGCATACAAGTGAAGTACTCTACCACTGAGCCCTTTATATTCCATCTTTAATTAGAGAGTTCAAAGTGTCCTAGACGAGTGTTTAGACTCCTGTTGCTTTAGCCCTTTTGAGATGAGAGAGTGAAATCTTCCAGGATGGCAGAGGATGGGACTGGTGTTCATGCTTTTTCACGGACTTTGATGTTCTTGGATGAAAGGTGGTACATAAATACAAAGCATTATTAATGTCACAATTTGAATATTTGGCATGATAAAGGCCAGGCTGTGAAGAAGCTTGCAGGCTGCTTCCTTGGCTGACTGCGGTTTTCCTCTGCTGACACTTGCACGTTGTCAAATGAGTGCAATTCCTTGACTGGAGATTTATTGTTTGTTTCTTGGTTGATTTTTTTTTTTTCAGTGGTGGCAATTGAGCTTAAGGCCTCTCGAAAGCTGGGCAAACACTTTAGTACTGGGCCAGCACACCCTCAGTCTGCCTCTTGGGTTTGTCTGCTTTATTGCCCGAGTGTGATGATGTTCCTTGCTCCTTGACTTTCAGCCTTTCAGTGGGATGTACTTGAACAACAAGGAGACAGGGATGTACCATTGTGTGTGCTGTGATAGCCCACTCTTCAGGTAAGATGATGAATGTGAAGAGATCTTAAATAAATAATACTTAATAAATAATACTCCCAAGTTTCTTATTTTTTGGTGCTGAAGACTGAATCCAAGGACCCCCTGTGTGCTTCCAGCCCTCAGGATCCATTGATCGCCTTTGTCCTCTCTTATTACCGCTGGAAGGAATGCTGCTCATGCAGGATATCTGTCTGTCTTGATTTTTTTCTGATATCTCATGTAGCTGACAGGGCTTCCCAGCTCATGTTCTTCCTTTATGTATCTCTGAGAGAGAACAAAGTTCTGATGGGGACTTCATGATAAAGCCATTAGGATTTTTTAGAGGGGAAAGTATGTAAAGAAATCTAAACCCTAATAGTATTTGCGTGGCCATATGATTAAAACTATACCTCTCCCAGGGAAAATGGGTTTATAATTTAATTTAGCAAGCGCAGACTTTTATGAGGCTTGATTCCCCACAGTGCCCGACAGAAGCGAATACCGTGCCCTCGTCTACAGAGCTAAAAGTAAATTTAATTGTCCCTTGATTTCAAAGCCTCTTTTAAGTCAATCAGCATCTCAAATCTTTCAACAAAGGCTTTTTTTGTTTAGATATGCAGGAAATAGTCTTTAAAAAAAGTAGATTCAAGGAAGAAGAAAGGAAACATCTTTGAAGTCTTGTTTTTCAGAACTTCAAAGATGTTTTCCTTTCTTTTGCATCAACCTTAAATTGGTTTAGAATAAAATATAAATCAAGCCAGCCCTGTGAATCTTCCATTAGGCAGACCCTCCTTCTGTCCTCTGGGCTTTCAGCAGCCTGGCTTCTTGGCCAGCCGGCTGCTAATGCGCGCTGCATTAGGAAGGCAGACCCTTCCTGCAAGGACGGGCGTGATTAGGATCGATTTTCCCTCATGCTCAGGAGGCCAGGCCATGGCCCAGGCATACCGGTGCTGGTGAGGAGCTACCTGGAAGAGCCCACTACCAGTCACCAGCCCCCAGCTCAGGAGCACCAGGGAAGACCAGAATGAAGTAAGTTCTCACACCGTAGTGTTGGAAGAACACGTGATTTTACCTTGTCAGATCACAGCCGTCAACACAGGCTTCTGTGATCCCAAGAGGTCTTTTTTTTTTTTAATTCACTTTATTTTTAATTGTGTGTGTATGTGCATGCATGCGCACATGTGTGTGCATGTGTACACAGGTGCCCTCAGAAAACAGAAATGGCCCTGCATCTGGAGTTACAGTTGTTGTGGGCTGTCTGACGAGAGTGCCGCCAACCACACCTATCATCTACAAGCACATCACGTGCACGTGCTCTTAACCACCGAGCCACCCCTGTACCCCTGACATCAAAAATTGGGAGGCCTTTTGTCCTCCAGCAAACAGTCAGCTCTCCAGCAGATGCAGGCTGAGGGCATCCTTCAATTTAGTTCAGACCTGACCTTGTCGACTTGGAGACAGTGTCAGATCCCGGGGGCACAGTTCAGTCCCCATGTCCTGTGCTCTACTTGTGATGCCCAGCATACTCACCTGGTTGTGACCTGTGCTCCTGACCAACCAGCTCTCAGCCAGGCTTCCGGCACTCTCCCGTGTTCCCTGTTTCTCTTGAGTAGTACCCGGGACTCAGGAAAGCACTTACATTTACCACTGCATTGGAAAGGGTATCACCATTATGAAAGATACAGCTGAAGAGATAAGTAGAATGGGTGTCGGGGAAGGATACTGGGTTCCATGTCCTCTCTAGGAAAATTCTCTAGACGCTTCCATGAGTTCAGTTACCCAGAAACTCACCAGACCCTGTCCTTTTGGGTCTTATGGAGGCTTCATTCCAAAATCATGGTCATGAGTGATCAGTTCCCTTCCCTGCATGTTGGGGGTGGGGCTGAAAGGCCCAATACTCTAATCATGCCTTGGTGATGAGTCCCCATCCTGCATCCATCCATTAAGCTATTAGACTATAAAAAGATACTGTCACTTTGAGGATTATGAGAATTTTAGGAGTTTTATAATGCTAGAAAATGACAGAAAGAATCAAATATACAGTTCACAGAATGACAGCAGTAAAGCTCGAGGCTAAGGTTTCAGAAAAATTGCCTTTTCCTTCATCATCATTTCTGTCAAAAGGAGAAGTCAAAGGTTAGGATGACTAGCTTCCTTTCAGCTGGGGACCTTGTAAAAGTCTAAGACTACGTTCTTACTATTTAGCTGCTGGAGAGGTGTCCTGTTTCTCAATTTGGAAGATGAGAAGTCATCCTTGTAAGAATGCACTCTTACTGTCCAATCTCCAAGGTCCTGGTGACTCCGTTGGTGTCCTCGTTTCTGTTTATTTCCAGAGGAGGACTTCCTACTATCCAATGGCTCCTCTCCTCTCACCATCTGGGGTCAGTCACAGCATCGAAAAATAGGGGAGCAGAGAGAGAGCAGATGTGGGAGCCCTCAAAGATTCCAACTTGTGGTTTGACTCAAAGTCAGAGCGTCAGAGTTTACGTTGCTCTCCAAGGCTGTGTAATAGGGTGCAAAGGCATGGTTACCAGTGTCTTATACTTCAAGGCCTAATCACAAGATGCTTTGCCATGGGGCGTGGTTACAGGTGTTTTGAAGGGTCTACACTTGGTTGTATGTTGTATGCCCTCCCAAAGCTGTCCTGTGTCTCTATCTTTTTTCTTAATCTACTTCTATATTTCCTATCTAGCATTTCTCAAATTCCTCACTTCCCCCTTCAAGGGACTCTTCAATAGGTTGGGGCTGAACCCCAACGCTGAACCCCGACAAGCAGAGTGAAGGGCTCTGGCCAGCAGGGCTTGCTATGGTGAAGGACACACTCTGTGTCTGCACTACAGATCTGCTCTCTATAGAAGCCTCAGGTTCCATGTGGCTGTTGAGCATCCAAAGTATAGCCAGTGTGGCCGAGAAGCTGGGCTTGTTAGGATATTTAGCAAATTTAAGCTTAAGAGGCCACATGTAGCTGGTAGCTATGGTGTTAGCACAATGCTAGTTAAATTAAGAAAGTTATGTGGCCAACTCTGAGTCATAGTGAAACAGTCCACATCCAGAAGAAATCCAATCAATGCTCTGGAAGCCTGTTTACCAAGTAGCCAGTTCGCTGACCCGGCAGTTAGTTCACGAACCTCCATTGTTTCTTTTCAGTCATTTTGGTTTTAAAGGCAAAGTATCCCCTCCCTGCTTTTTAAAAGAACTTCTGAGGTTTTGTTTCATTTTCTTGCTGATACTGAAGCTAAAAATAAAGAAAATAAGAATATATCCATCTTGCTTCCTGTTACTAAAGTAAGAATATAGAGGTCTAGCTTCTTGTTACTATAAGAACATATCCATCTAGCTTCCTGTTATTATAAGAACATATCCGTCTAGTTTCTTGTTACTATAAGAACATATCCATCTAGCTTCCTGTTATTATAAGAACATATCCGTCTAGCTTCTTGTTACTATAAGAACATATCCATCTAGCTTCCTGTTATTATAAGAACATATCCATCTAGCTTCCTGTTATTATAAGAACATATCCATCTAGCTTCTTGTTATTATAAGAACATATCCATCTAGCTTCCTGTTACTATAATAAGCACAGGAGCTAACCAGCTTATAAATATTTTGGCTCACAGTCTTGGAGGTCTCATTTTTATGGCAGTAGTGTATGGTAAAGCAAAACCCCAGCTGCATGGACAGGAACAAAGGGGAGGAAGAGGAAAGAACTGGGCTTCCACAGTCCTCTTCAGGAACGTGCCCCCAGTGACCTAAAGAACTTGCACGAGGCTCCAGTAGCACCAAACCGTTAACATTTGGGCTTTAGGGGAGCGTTTGTTTGGGTGGGAGCTCCACCTCAGCCCCTGGCACCCTGGCATCTCTATACCCAAAGAGTCGGAATGTTTGGAGGGAGTCTGGTGGAAGACCCACCTCAACTCCCCTCCCCATCTCTTTCCCTAAACCTGCTCCTTCAAAGCCCGCCAAACACAGCTCCTCTCCCAGAGAGGCTCAAGACCACCCACACAGGGTATATAAGCAGCATCCCCAAAGACAGACATATGGTTCTTCCAGTCTGGCATCCCTGTCTCCTCTCTGTGGGCCGGGGAATCACCCGGGAGCACTTTACCCATTAAACTCGGGCTTTCCAATTCGGTCTGATTCGGTTTGCTGTATCAGCAGAGAGGCCTTCAGGAGGTCTAAAACTTACCAGCGTTTAGCACCAAAATCAAACAAATCATAATAATCAGTTCCATTCTAGACACACTCTTCTTAAAGAGCACCCATTAACAGGAGTATGGTAAAGACTGCCTAGGTGTCTGCATCAGTTCCCTTGTTGGGTAACTTTGGATAAATTTCTTAATGTATCTCTGCCTTGGTTTTCTCATTTACCTGTAAAATGAGAATAGTGCGTACCCAGTTCATAGGGTTGTTGGGAGGATTATGAGTTAATATATATAAACCTGGCAAAGCAAGGCGTAGTACATACTAAGCAATCCAGACATACTAACAATGGTGTATTATTAGAGATAAACCTTTCTCAGGGATCGACACTCAGTGTGTGTTTTATGATGAGGAATTCTGGAGACTATGTTCTAATCAGTGAAAAGATAAATGAAGACTATATTATTGAGCATTCCTTTGTTTAAAAAAATATATTTTTGAACACTTTATTTACTTACTTTTTTTTTATATGTATGGGTGTCTTGTGGGCATGTGTGTCTGTGCATGACACGTATCCAGTTCCCATGAAGACCTGGAGAGGGCATCAGATCCCCCAGGACTGGAATTCCAGATGGTTGTGAGCTGCATGTAGATGCTAGGGATTGAACCAAGGTCCTTTGGAAGAGCAGCCAGTCCTCTTACCTGATGAGCCAACTCTCCAGCCCCTCCTTGAGCATTCTTACCATTCAAGAGGATAGTGTTAGGAGTATATTGTTCTCTCTCTCCTATTAGCTCTTATTTCAAGTCTCGAGCTTCTTTCGTAGGAAGCAGGGTACACAAATGCCGTGCCTGCAAATGTTTGTGTAGAGTCATGTAGC